ATCTATGTTATATTGTGTTTTGTAGGTAAAACTTTATGTTTAATGAAGAATTGAAGAAAAGAATGCAAAAGTGGCGAAAAATGGAAATATTACATTAAATGGGTTCGAGTTAAATGGGTCTCAATAGAATTGTCTTGGAAATTTTAATTGGAAGCACAAATTAAACACACACACACACGGGGTCACAGGGAAGGGAAGGCTGAAGAGAAAGTACAGAGAAGAAAAAAAAAACTGCGGCGCTGTAGCAAGTAGAAAAGAAGAAAAGAAAAGAAGATAAAAAAAAAAAAGGGGGAAAGTCAACGCAGAATCAGAGAGAAAGAAAAAAAAAAAAAGAAAGGAAATGAGACTACAAACACTAGAAATTTTCACATTTCGTCAATTTTTGGTGATATCTTTCCACTTTTGCGCATTTTTATTTTTACAATACGAATAACTAATTTCTATATTAGGGAAAACAATGTAATCGATTTGTGATCTTTTATTTTTTTTTATTCAAGATTTATGTGATTTATTCTTATATGTGATGATTTTATTAAGAGTTTAATGCATTAAATTACCCGATCAATAACTTGATGATTATGTGAGTCTCTTACGAATGGAGAGGTGAGTTTGAGATTTAGACCATATAGTAAAATCCGGTAAATTAGTATAACGTGTAGAGATACCTATACTAATTATTGCTGTCATAATATGAATTCTTAGAACTGTTGTTTCATTTAACTAATGTTGATTCACATAGAGATATTGAATTTAATTAGTTAAATAGGTTCAATGAGAACTTGAGAGAGGTAAATTGAATACAATAGAAGAATTCGATCGAACACTACATTAGGTTAAAATCCTGAATTAAGAATTAAGGTGATCAATAGATGAAATTATTATACCCTAATATTCATCACATATTAGAATCTTTAATTATCCGTTATTTGTAATTTTTTTATATTTTCAATTAGTTAAAAGTAATTAGGAAAAATAATCACAACCATGATAATTATTTACTTGATTCTGTCAAATAGGAGTAAGAAAAATTAGATTAAATTCTAAAGTATAGTTTTCGTGGGAACGTTATCCGAAGTCAAAGATCTACTATACTGCTTGTTACGATATAAAAAACGCAACCCTCACCTTTTCTCTTCTCCCACCAAAACATGTCACCCCATCTAGTGGTGACAATGAGGCAGGCTAGTTCACAAGCAAAAGCTCGGAGCTCAGTATTAGCTCGTCAAAAAAAGGCTCAAGTTTTTGGGCTTGAGCTGAGTCGGCTCATGGACTTTTCGTTTTTTTTTTTTTATTTTTACTCGAATATACAAAAAAATTGATTGTTAATTTACAAAATACAAATTTAATTTAAAAACTACAAAAGCAATTATGCAAGTTAATGAATTTTACAAACTAAATGATGGTCATTAATTTACGAATGAAAAAATTAATTATGCAAGTGGTTTGGTTCAGGCCAAATCTCATTTTTTAGGCTTGGTCTGAGGTTTAGCTCATGCAAATGAGTCCTAGCAGGCTCGGCTTGATCTTTTTTTTTTGAGTCGAGTCACATGTTGCCCTAGCCATGGACTTGTTTGTCACCACTACCCATATCTACCCAACATTTTGTCCTCTACTAGCCCTCTCTTGATCTCATCACTTTTTATACCTATCCACATCTCCTGCCATTGCATTTGGAAACTTCATGATCAACACATGATTTCTAAGATACATGATAACCTACGAAATAGTGAATGGAGAAAGAAAGGTGAAAAAGAGAGGAAGGAGGGAGGGAGGAACCAAAGGGACAGGAAAGGGGCTGCAAGGATAAGGTTAAAAAGGACCGAGTAGTGTAAAGAAGACAGTAATATGAGGAAAATTATTTTTGATAATAGTACGTCTAAATGTCCTTAAATTATAAATTTATTGGTGGTCTGTAACAAACTTTTTCCATTAATTTAAGGTCATTTAAAATATTTCGTCCAATTTTTTGGCATAATGATATTTCATCTGTAGTTTAGATTGGAAAATATATATCGGCCCTCGAACTTCTGTTTCAATGTTGAGTTACCCTCAAACTTCTGATATTAGTCAAATTGACCTAGTTGGTACCATTACTTGACAATGATTTTTAAAGAAAAACCAAAAATCCTAAACATACAAATAGCAAGAGTCAATAGTACCATGATGACACACGAATAAAACCATGTATAACAATTTGTCAATTTTTTGTTTCTAATATTAACTAGCTAATAGTAGGGCACTTGTTTATTCAAGTAGTGTTTTAAAAGATTTTAGGGTGTGTTTGATTGTAAAAATGAAATTTGTATAAAAAGAAAATGAGTTCTAGGTAATTTGAATGGAAATTATTAAGGACCATGCCACAAGTATATAATCATTTACATAATACATTACATAATTGATATGTGGAGCGCATCCATCGGTAATCTACAATT